TATGCCGTTATTTATAATTTACGATTAATACCCTTTTCACATTCTCAATTAATAAATTTATTCAATTAAATTAATATGTAACAATTTTTTTACTTGTATTTTTAAAATTCTTATATCTTATCAATTTTATTTAAATTATTTACATATAACAATATTTATGAAAAATGAAAAATATTACGGATCCCTTAAGAAAAATATGAATATAGTGGTCTAGAGAGAAAGTTAGAGAAAATAATTAAATTCTTCCTAGTCCTCAACTTATATACCAACAACTTAAGTTCGCAATCTAATTTGTTTTTTCAATTGGATCCTCAACATATCAGCCCATATTTAGTCCTTATACTTGTTTTAATTTTTTTGATTGAGACTCTCTATAGTTTTTTGGCTTAATTGAAACCCTCTACTCTTTGAATCTTATTGATTCAAACACCAATCACTAATTGACAAGTGTCATTATGGGTCCCAAATGACAATATTGAAATAATTTTTTTAATATTAAACAAATATTTAAAAATTAAAAAAATATTGGAAAAGACAAATTCACCAAAGCCTCGTTATTTCAAAATCTTCACTCTTTTTTTCCTTTCCTAAATATCTTTCATCTAAATTTAAACAAGAAGATAAATAAAAATGAAATAACATCCGGATTTAAGAGAAAACACAATGGTAAAAGAACAAAGCTAAAACCCATTTTAACTTATTTGTATTCAAGTTTAAGAACCAACCAAGGCCGAAATTAAAAAAAAAATAAAACAAGAACCAAAAATTCTAAAAATACCCATAAAAGCATCACTAAAACAACATGTCGAAACATTTGGCTTCTCTTTTGGTTACCGCCTACTTTGACCATAGCAAGGGAGGAAGAAGGTAGTTATCAACTTAGAGCACCATGGGGTGTCATTCTCTAATCATTGGGTGCCTTGATTTGCTCTAGAACGGACAATAGAGATGTGTCTTTAAAAATGGGCAAGAATTGTTTTCTTGTTCAATTCAATCGATTTTGATGAGTTTCATCGGGATCTTAAGACGAAACAATTGTTTAAAGGATGAATGTTTTTCAAGTGGTTGAAGCCATCGTTGTGGCCGTAAATGAAAGATTTTATTGGGCTTGTCTTCGATTCAAGTTTTGTGGACGAGTTTACCAGTATGATGTTGTATTCTCATTAAAAGATAACTAATTCATTCATCAACATATTTAAATTTCTTTGAACTTGCTAACAATATTAAATTCTTTGTTTTTTTTTATTTTTGTAACTCTTTTGTGTGTTTTTACTTATGGTTATTCATGAACTTCAATATGTTCGTTCAAATGAATATGAAGAACTTACACTGGAGATTAATTTCCTCTATTTGTATGCCCTTCTCGTTGTCCCCGTTAGTGACTTATTTGGCTTTTCATTATTCGTTTTTGCTTTGGTGCCTTGGCTAATTGTTTTCGATATTCCTAGATTTGCTCTTGCTATTTCTTTCCATCCTGCTATTTTTCCTCTCATTATTGATCTTTGGCTTTGTTTGTTTGGCAAAAAATAACCGTCAATAGGAAAAGCAATTCGGAGAAGCTATTTTTTAAGAAGTTGTTTTTCAAATTTTTTTTTTTACATTTGAAAATTATATGAAAAACTATCGAAGAATATATTCCAGACATTTGTTTGATACAAAAAAGTCGAAATACAAAAACAAGTCGTGATTGTTACATCAAAGAGTATTGAGAAAACTTTAATAAGACATATTTACATCAATAAAACATATTCACAATCTCACAATATAAAAATTATTAAAACATCTCATATCCATAATAGTCTATAAACAAAAAGCTACCAAAACAGAGCATATGAGTTACCGATATGCTTGTGTAGCAAAACGAAAGTATCAGTTATAATCAAGAATATATCAAAACAGAGACATATGATGTTGAAATATCATTTGGAGTATAATTGTTTTTATTCGAATGTAAAAAATATTTTAAAATCAATTTACAATTGAAACTAAATCTTTTTTTTTTTGAAAGATTTTAAAAATATATTTTTAAAATCAATAAGATGCATTTAGAAAAATTTAATAAATTTTTATAAATACCGACTCTAAGATTTAAAATTAAAAATAAAAAAATAAAATGTATATTTTTAACCATCAAACCAATTCATCAAAATTAATTGGGATAAAATCGAGTCAATATTCACATTTAGTAAAAACATTTCTAAGTAATCATAACATTTTTATTTTGGTAACTCAATTAAGAATTCTTTTTCTTTTTGGAAATTGAACGGATAATTTAGTCTAAAAATAATTTTACAAATTATTAGTTATCATATGTGAATAATTATTCATTTGATTTCAAAAGATTAATCTTGAAATAATTTGTAACTAATTATTGACTATAATTACTAATAAAATTTTACAATTGATTAAAATTAGTCACAAATTATTGATTTAGTTGCCAATGAATTATGTCGAGAGAATAATGTATTTATTACCAAAGAATTTACAGACTTAGTGGTAGTAGTCTCTTGCAATAAATGGTTATGGGTTCAAATTCTAGCAAACTAGTTCTGGTAGTTGGGTTTGTGAGTTAAAAAAATATATATTTATTAATGAATTAATTAGTTTTAATTTTTTTCACAAATGATTACGAGCTTGTAATAATCATTTTTAATCATTTAAGTATAGTTTAGGTAGTGTTTGAGATAATGGTAAAAAAAAGGAGAAAAATTATTAAAATATTTATAATAAATATAATTTTAAAGTGTTAAATTTTTTTAAAGAATATTTAATGTATTTATAAATCGAAAAATGAAATGTTAGTAGAAATAGAGAAAAATAATTAAATAATTAATAATAATTAATTAAAATTTAATTTGATATATTTTAAATAAAAAAGGAGATAGAGAAAAAAATTGTTAAAATATATCGAGAGAGACGCGAGTAACTCAAGAGCAAGACGAACTCGTGAGAGAGAGAAAAATATTTTCTTCTTTTTTAGCTTGAAGTGACTTTTCAAAAATAGTCTATTAATTTTCGTTGACTATAAATCAAATTCCATTGATTTTTTTTCCTAAACGTGAAACAAATATCAAAAAATGAGAGAAAATGAGAAAAACAAATTCCTAGAACTTATTTTTTCCAAAACAAACACAACTTTTGTTTTGGTTTCTTGTTATGAGGGTCATGTTGGGTCAAATTTATACAACAATTGACTACTTGAAAAGATTGACGTGAGGCTAGATGTGTCTCGTCTTTTTAATTCCTCATGCGTCAATTTTCTTAGCTAGTCGTTTGTGGCTTTCTAGGTTGCTTTTGAGTAGCCATTGTATTTATTGTGGATAAATTGTGATTAATAAATTGATGAACATTCGGATGTTATCATTTCATGCTTGTATTTGATTCTTAATGATCTAATAATAAATATTTTCACATATATGGTGCCATAATGTTTGTCTTTAATTCTCTTGTTGTTGCGTTTTGGGTTCCGTTGCTATTGATGATATATGATGATGAAGTGGAGGGAGGGGGTTTAGGTCTTTTTCACATTTTTTTTGTATTAATTTATTATTAAAATTAGTTTGTAATTTATTTTTTTTAATTTAGAGAAAAATATTGTATTTTGGGACTCATTTCATCACATGTCGTTCAATGATTGGTTACCGTTAACGGTAATGTGTCACATTAGATGAATAATTAAAGACGTTATAACAAAAAGGTTTGAATTAACAAATTTCAAAGGATAACGGATTTTAATCAAGTTGAAAAAAACATAAATGATCTCAATAAAAAAATTTCGAACCGTATAAAGATCAAATATAAGGTAAACCCCTCAACATATCATAAAATTTCTATTGAGTACTTGTCCATGTTGTCAGTATCCTTCATCTAAAGTAATAAATTATCTATTTTATGCAACAAAATGATGCCAATGTTGAAGAGACAGAATTTTGACACGTTTTGCTATAAAAATGGAATCAATTGAGCATTGATATATAGGTTGACACTGATACAAGGTTATCCAAATTCCTTTTCAATTGAAATAATAAAAAAATTAGAGGGAATTTTTTGAAAAATATGGTTGTTTTATGCCATTTGTTTGAAGTTAAGAAGTAGCTTTTCTATAGAATAAGTTATATTTCATAACATTTCCACTTGTTTTTCTTCATTTCTCTCCGGTTATATAATTTTGGCTCAGAAAAAAAATTTATTTCCTTTATTCTCCCTTCACTTTCATCCCACTTGTACCTAAATAAGTAAAAAAAATACTTTAAATTCTGGAAATTGGAAATTGGAAATTGGGGAGGAAGCAAAGAGAACGGAAATTAGAGGAAAATTTCTCATATGGGCCCACCATTTTGGCCCTCATACAATTAAGAAGAAGACGGAGAATGTACTCTAATTTTACCAATTTCCTCATAATTATTATTATTTTTTTTAAATACAGATATTCAAATATTAAAAAAATATAAAATATAAATACTCGATTAGAAATAAATTAAAAATTAATATATATTTTGATAAATCAACTGTTATATGGAGATTTAACAATAAAATGATAAATGAAATATAAGAAAAGCATTTGATTTTTTTAAAAAAATTAAATAGCAAATATAAAAAAACAAAATTCCCAATGGAAAAATCGAAAAGTTTAAACGTAATTAAAAGAGTCATCAAGATATAGTATTATTGGGCCAAATATCATGGACCCAATGTTGTTAAAATCCAATCCAAAGTTATCGATGCCCAACCAATTCAAATTCAAATTCAGTCACGAGTGTCACTCCTCTTTCTCTCTTTATTGACGCACCAAAGACTTCCCCTCTTCTCTACAAAACCCTTCTTATTTCTCTCTCTTTCTCTCAGAAAATCGGAATCAACTTTAGACTTAGCATTTGCTTTGGGCAAAGCACAAATTCTCTCCTTTTTGTTTCCTCTATGTATTAAAGAAAAACTCTCTCACTCTCTCTGCAAAATCTTTTCAAAAAATAAAATAGAAACGTTTCGAGACGATAAAACCTATGGACCTGCTCCGATCGAATCTTTCTCGGGTACGGATCCCCGAACCAACTAATCGCATCTACAAGCATGAGTGCTGCGTCTCCTTCGAAACTCCGGTATTCTTTTCTTTTTTCTTTTTTCCGTTTGATTACTGAGAAAGTACATTTTTTAGTGAAAGAGGAAAATAAATTTGATTTTTTTTTTAAATGCACAAACTGCTACTTTGCTTAATATAGATGATAACTTATGAAGTTCTAATAGTTTCTTACTGTGACGTTGTTGTCGTTCACTAAATGTATTTCTGTTTGGTTCCCGAGAAAGTGGAATAAAAGAGAAACAATTCAAATTTCGGATATTCTTTTTTTCGCACCACTTGTTTGGTTTCTTAGAAAGTGAGGATAAGCCAGACTTTATTTTATGTTCTTTCATTTTGATTCAATTTCAGTTATTGAATCTTTTATATCTGATGCTGCTGGATTTTGTTTTGATGAATTTCAGAGGTCTGAAGGCGGGTTGTTTGTCGACATGACCACATTTCTTGCTTTCGGGAAAGATTATGTGGGTTGGAATTATGAGAAGACTGGAAACCCTGTTTATTTACACATAAAGCAAACAAGGAAGGTGGTCCCTGAAGATAGGCCTTTGAAGAAACCAACTCTTTTGGCTATAGGTACTAAAATATTTAATATGGTCTGCACATGCACATGTAATTCAATTGCTTTGATGATTCTTTAATGGTTATGATTAATATTGGGATCTTCTTAGAGAAGATTGTAGGAATCATTATTGAGACTTGGTTATGAGTTGCAATCTCCAATGTCTACAGCTTGTTGAGAGAGGGCATGCATCTGCATGGACACGTTATATTTGTTAGAGAGTGATTTAGTAAGAGGTGTATTTATATTGAAATGAAAGCTTAGAATCTAATATTTAAGCTTTTGGGTTTGATGTGGTACTGCATGGGTGTGGATGTTTTTGTTTCAATTTCCCTTTTTCTTATAAGAAGAACTGGCTTGAAAAAGAATTTCAAGCAGTGAAAGTTCATCTCTGCTTGCCATCATAATGTCTCCTGTCCCACCCCTCTCTCGCAATTATATGTTGCAATTGAACATAAGGTTTTCTTTATGAATATCTTCTGTCATCCCATAAAAGCTCCCTAACCAGCTTCATTTTGAAGTCAACGTAGATATGCCAAAGTTGATGTCTTGGATTCTTCAAAACGACAATTTGCCACTTCGGTATAACTTCTACACTAAGAACTTCTAGTCTTAGATATGAGCTGGCATGGCCTTTGCGGATTTGTATGCCTGATTTAGATTTTGCACGTGAACCACTTGTTTTTATGTGTCAAATTTAAAAGTACACATAGGATAGCAGCTCTTGTCTTTGTCTGTCCTTGTCCCTAATACTTTACCTGTTATCATGGGAAAGCCTAATAACACTTAACACAGTTACTATTTTTCTTTTAATAATTGGCTAGCTGAGAACATTAATGAAGCGATTTTTTGTATTTGTAGGTGTTGAAGGGGGATTTGACAATAATGAACCTGAATATGAAGAAGTTCATAATATTGTCATATTACCTGATTATGTTACTTTACCATTCCCTTCAGTGGAGTTGCCAGAGAAGGTGCATTGTTGTTCACTATATCTTTCTTTTAGTTTTTTAATCTAAATAAAATTTCACCTCCCTGATGAAGACCTTATTGTGGCTAGCATTTTTCTAATACTGCAGGTGAGGTTGGCAGTTGATGCTATCATAATGGCTGAAGGTGCTGAGAGGAAAGAGCAACTTGCTGCCTGGACAGCTGAGAAGAAGCAAGTTAGTGCATATGCAATGAATCTACCACAGATTGACAATGGTGTTGTCATTCCACCGTCTGGGTGGAAATGTGCCAAGTGTGACAAAAAAGATAATTTGTGGCTAAATCTTACGGATGGAATGATTCTTTGTGGGAGGAAAAATTGGGATGGAACAGGAGGCAACAACCATGCCATTGAACATTACAAGGAGACAAGCTATCCTCTTGCTGTGAAGCTTGGGACAATTACTGCTGATCTCGAAGCAGCAGGTAATGCCAACTTGCATTGTGACGGAGTTGGAATGATTTTCTTTACTTAATCATGTGCTTGCATGTATATAAGTTCTGTCAAAATCACGCATCTTTTGATTGAAGTGTACAAAGTCAAATTTGTATTTGTTCATTCTTGCACTGGTACAAGCAGTTATGTTGGCATTATTGTTTATGCTACATTGTTGTTAAGCAATGTGATGAGTGTACTGGAATGGGATTTTTGGTTAAATTTTAGTATAAATCATCTGCAAATGATAAGGCCTAACAAAATTGCCAGAATTCTTAGGGAGTTTGGCATTAGATATCCAAAAGGGGAGGAAGTTAGATGCTGGGTAGAGAGCGTAGTTATCTGCATAAATATCTGTGCATGCTTATTTGCTTAATGGCTGTTCTTTAATTGAGTGTCAAGAGTGGTTTGAGGTTGGTGAGGACAAATCGTGTTGAACAATATGTAGTGGTTTAATGGTTGTGCACCATTTTAACTCTTTGTAAGATATCTATTAACAGGCACTGACAGGTGCTGCTTTTTTTACAAGAAAACAAGACTACATCCAAGATAAAGAATTGAAAAACTCTACAGTTTTGTCTATCCATCTAAAAGATTGCTCTGTATGCTAGCAATTAAATGTCCTAATTCAATTATCTCGTGAAGAGGATCAATAATTTACAAGCACTTCAGTGTGATTCTAAAATAGTTTTTTGGAAGTTAAATGTCCTAATCCAATTATCCTGTGAAGAGGATAAGGCTTTATGTCCATAAAACTTCTGCCACAATTTGATGTCATAAACAGCTTTTAGTTGATCTTATGCAGATTGTGTAATGTAGCTTATTAACAAAATGCAATTGCAACTGTGGGAAGCTAGAAATCATATTTTTGTGAAGTGGAATATTAAAGAAGAAGAAAGCCGGGAATTTACTTTTTGTGATGATATGCACTAATTTTGTACAGATGTTTGGAGGATTTATTGCCTCCATGAAATACTGCTAGGTATTCCTTAGACAGCTTCAATTTGCATCACTGTGTTGCAGTTACATTTCTGAGACGATTGGAAAGAAGGAAGTAAAATGGCATGTTTTAGAATGTAGCAGCCAAGCTATTAAATATGAATATTTTTTTTTTATAATTTTTTCCTATTATGTAACAAATGAAACTCTTGAAGGATAGAATTAATGCTTGTTATTATTGCATGACTATTAATTCTGGAAAATGAATCCATGTTATACTGGTGCTACATGGTTACTTAAAGGGAAGAGTTGCTACTTTAGCATTGAAGGAAACACATAAAATCCTTAACTAAGATAGGAAATAAACAAAATGTGTAATTGCCGGTGGAGACATGACCAGGAAATCTTGGAACTTTGCTTGCTCTTCGTAGTTAATTCAGCTCGTGTGGATGGGTTGTCTTGTAATTTGAAGAAGATAGAGAAACCAAGCTGTCTTTGGTTTAATATTCTATGCATTCCAGATTCTTTTTAACTATTCTTTGAGAATTTGTTTTATGGAACCTCAGAACTAACCATGGGTACACATTGTGGCAGCTCAGATGTTTTCTCTTATCCAGAGGATGACAGTGTCATGGACCCACTTTTAGCACAGCATCTGGCATTTTTTGGCATTGATTTTTCAGCCTTACAAAAGGTTAGTTATCTCTACTAAGATGTATTTGCAGTCACATGGGGTCTGTCATCTGTGCTGTTTACTGTCAACTTATAAGTCATACATAATACATGTAGGTTGACCTTTTTTTCCCCTTGTTATTAGGAAACAAGATAATTTGCATGCCATTTCTCATAGCGAATTGGTGATGGCTGAAATGGAACTACTTTTGACATTAACCTTGACTTGGAAGCATAAGGAAATTTATACCTATATTATTCTGTGTGTATGAATATAACTGAGAAGATCTCATTATCCATAGCTGGTAGAGTTTTTGAAAACCGTTAATAAGACAAATAACGGTGTAAAGTTGACCATCTAGATTTATTTACAGTCTAATAACAAGGTTATGTTTTGTGTAAAAGATTTTATACTATAATTATATGTTTTGGTTCTATCATGGCCTAGTTACTAATATTTTACACATATAGCTGTAGTTTTGAAACCATCAATGAAGTTTTAAGTATTTGGTTTTTTTTTTTTTTTTTTTGGCATTTGAGATCAAGTTTCACATCTCATAATGATTCACCCTCAGGGTTTTACCCAGTGCTCATATCAACTTCTTGTTTTCAGACTGAAATGACAACTGCCGAGAGGGAACTTGACCAGAACACCAACTACGATTGGAACCGAATACAAGAAAGTGGACAGGATGTGGAACCTATTTTTGGACCAGGTTATACAGGACTTGTAAATCTTGGAAACAGGTGACATTTGGTCCTCTCAAAGTGCTGTTGTGAACCTTTCATTTATTTGACGTTCTTGTTTCCTAATTTTTTTTCCTGGCAGCTGCTACATGGCCGCAACTATGCAAGTTGTGTTTTCAACAAGGTCCTTCAATTCACGGTTAGTTTATGCTAAATATGGGAAAAATGCTAGCTTCTAGATTGAAATATTTTTGTTTATATAAACATCTTTGGGGAATTGCATGAAATGCATATGTTTTCATGAATGTGGTGCACAAATATCAGCCATTCACTTTTAGTTCAGACATTTTGCTTATTTGTTCATTATTTGGTGTAATTATGTCATCAGATACTACATTAACCAAAGCTTGAAAATGGCATTTGAGATGGCTCCTGCTGATCCAACTGTAGACTTAAATATGCAGCTGTGAGTATCTTGGACATTTAAAATAGCATGAAAACCTCACTTTCTCAACTGTAATTCCTGCTATTCATCTGTGATGTTTATTCAAGCCTCAAGTTTATGTGGCAGTACAAAGCTGGCGCATGGTATGCTGTCTGGCAAATACTCGTTTCCATCACTGGAGGTATGGCAAATGGGGAAATATGATGTGCATGATACAATTGCTTTCTTTTTATGATTAATTTATGTTTTTCTTATTTGTTGTCCAGAATGCTGATAAAGCGGATGCTGCTACCCCAACAAGCAATGTAAGCTCTCTATCTAACTTTTTGTCCATTTATTAGCTCTGGGTTTTGTTTCTGGAGATTCTTAAAGTTTAAATTGCATTATGAGATGAATAATCTGTTATGGTTCTTTGTTAGAATTTTAATTTATTGAATGTCTTAGATATAGTGACCAAATACTGACTTATTTCATTTCAAATGCATATTTCAGCTCATTATGCAAGCTAGTTTTAGGTTTTTACTGTTTTTAGAACACAGATTATAACTCAATGAGTATGATATTTCTGTACCTTTCATGCCTCATCTTCTTTTTGTTTAGAAACATGTCTTAGTTGTTTTTCTTATTTGATGTTGACCGTCTTATATTTTCTCTCCTTTTCTTTTCTTTTCTCCATCTTAAAATATTAGAAACAGGAAGGTATACCCCCTCGTATGTTCAAAGCAGTTATTGCTGCCAGCCACCCTGAGTTTTCTTCTATGAGGCAACAGGTATGAATCAATGGAAACTGCAATTTTGTTGCCTGCCATATACATTAATTCTTTTTAAAAGATGAAGATTCTGAATTGTATAAAAAGAAGCCATAAGTTTAATGAAATTTCTAAAGTGTTCCTTCCGAGCTGTTTGAAAATTATCCAACTTGAGTTATGAGGTTATGAATGATAATTTCCCCTTTTTGGTTGACAAAAATAAGAATAAAGAAGACTTAAGTTATAGTATACCTGAGTTTATGGCTGTACATGTCCATTTGACGTCAGTAATTTTGTGAATTGACAGAACTTTGTACCATTTTTCTCGGGTGCTCTAGGAGACAGTTTCTTGTGTGTTTCTTTTTTTTGTGTGTGTATATAATATATATATTTTTTTCGGTGGGGGGTGGGGTGGGTGGGGATTTTTGTCACCTCAACCTACATTGCAATTGTTGTTTGATCCTGAAGCATAGGAAGAGGTCTTGTAGACTGGTTTTTATGCTCAGGAAATAAGAAAGGACGTATATAAACATTTCCTTAAAAATGCAGTCAACCTACATGAAAACTCTGTGGCATAAATAGGCTTGTAAAAAATTCTAGGAGAGGAAGTCAATTTGGTGGAACTTAGGTAATTAAATATTTAGAATTGTGCAGAATGGTCCCTATACTTGATAATATTGTGACTTAGCTGCAATATAAAGACACCATTTTGGTGGGGAGCATAGCATACAACTATTACTGTTCACGAAATTGATTCTGTGAAATATTATGTCAACATATGTGTAGGATGCGTTGGAATTCTTCCTGCACTTTCTTGACCAAGTTGAACGTGTTAATGGTGGGAAACCTGCATTGGATCCTTCAAGAAGTTTCAAGTTTGGAATTGAAGAACGTATATTGTGTCGATCTGGAAAAGTTGGGTTCAATAGAAGGCTTGACTATATTCTCTCTTTGAATATTCCATTAAACGAAGCTACTAATAAAGGCATGTTTCTTTCTTTGTTCTTTCTTCCTCTGAAACATATACATGGAGCTGCATGCTAACAGTTTTAATATGTGGAAATTCAGAAGAACTAGAAGCCTTCTGCAAGTTGAAAGCTGAAAAGATTTCTGAAGGAAAGGATGTGTAAGTACAAATGTTTGGTAATCCTGTCTTTACCCTTAATTTCTGCTTAGAATGGCTAGTTGTTTCAGGTCCAGTGATGAAATTGTACGTCCAAGGGTTCCCCTAGACGCATGCCTAGCTAGTTTTTCAGCTCCGGAGGAGATACAAGATTATTATAGCACTGCCTTGAACGCTAAGACAACAGCACTGAAGTATGCTTTATGAAATTTCCATGGTTTATGATATGTTAAGATGGTTCAGAGGCACGCTGATGCAAAGTTAATGTTTTTCCCTTCGTGGTTATATGCTGCAGGACTGCAGGTCTAACTTCATTCCCTGATTATTTGGTGTTGCACATGCGAAAATTTGTTTTGGAGGAAGGCTGGGTGCCAAAAAAGCTTGGTAAATTTTGTGGCTCCTTCAATTTTCATAACTTCATTGGTCTCTTAAAGACATTTATAATTCTTGTTGATTGTTTTTATCCATTCAGATGTCTACATAGATGTTCCTGATATCATAGACATTAGCTACATGCGAAGCAAAGGCCTTCAACCAGGGGAGGAGTTGTTACCAGATGGTGGTATGTGATGCGTTTTGGAATTTCCAATTTCTTTATTTGATTTTTTATATGGAAAAATAGAACAAAATTTGTAGCTTTGTATGTTTATTATCAGTGTGTTAATCCACTCAAGTCATCCCCACTGGATGCACGGATCACCTATTCCTTGAATTTGTGTTTCACATCTCAAATTGAGGAGAGGGTGTGGGGAAGAGGTGGGTGGGCTGAACTTTGTGTGACCTAGAACTTCCACCAAATCATTAGGTGCACGTCCACTGGTTAACATTGCACAATGATTCATCATTTGATCCACTCAACGTCCAAAATATCATTTTGATCTACTGAACATCCATAAATATCATGTGATCCACTGTTCATAATGGATTTGCATGCTAGGTGGACACAAGTGGAACTGAAGTGAGTCAACTTCTATCATTTCTTCCATGATCAGTGGTTTCTGAAAAGGCAATTGAAGGCATAGGGTGTAGAGACTAGACTGTAGATTTTTCTTTTTGCAAAACAAATTGTAGAATTTTTGTTTAGTGTTCATGTTGTGTTTTGCATATGTGCGATCTATGCTGTTCGGTTGTCCCCCCATGTAATGGTGGTATATGGTCATACATCTCTCATTTTTCCTTTTGTGAAGAGATTTAGAGGGGCTTTATTTCATTTTTCTTATCATACTGCACAGTCCCTGCATCAGAGGTGGAATCAAATATGCCCGTAGCCAATGAGGATATTGTTTCCCAGCTTGTCTCTATGGGGTTCAACTATCTTCATTGCCAGAAAGCTGCTATCAATACCTCAAATGTTGGAGTAGAAGAGGCTATGAATTGGTTACTTTCTCACATGGATGACGCAGGTATATAAAATATATTGTTAGCATGGTGAAATGTTTCATGTCAGGAAACTTACTTCTGATTGAGATTCAGCGTCTGCAGATGTGATGTAGGGGGTAGAAATGTTCTGTTGGTAATTGATGTGGTTACATTCCTTCTTTCAGATATAGATGCTCCTCTTTCCCAGGGGGCACGTGGTAATGAAGTTGTTGATCAATCGAAAGTTGATACTTTACTCTCATTTGGTTTTCAAGAAGAAGTTGCTCGGAAGGCTTTGAAGGCTTCGGTAAAAATATTACAGCTTGCTTTTCTTTTAGGCATGAGGATTACATTTGCCAATGTTGCTCTATAAAGTATTGCAAAAGACTTCAACTGTTTCATGATTTTTTTTGCATCAAAACTTTCCAGGGTGGTGACATTGAAAAGGCTACTGATTGGATATTCAACAATCCTGATGCTTCTACTACATCTGACATGGACACTTCCACTTCAAGCTCTAAACCTACTCCAGATGACACTGAACTGCCTGATGGCGGAGGGAGTAAGTTCTTAAACTCTTTGTTTTCATCATATTGATTGTTAACATTATGATGCTCATATGTTTTCTTAAACCGTTGCTTTCATCATATTGATTGTAAACATTATGATGCTCATATGTTTTACAATCTTACATAGCTGCTTTTAATTGATGGAAAGTTTATTGTGAATAAGTATGTGCTATCTATCTCACCTAGCCTGGTGCATTTTCTATTTGCATTTTGCTTCTATAGTTGTTTTCTTTCCACTAGGTTCCATGTTAATCCATAATAGTATAGTACATTTGGCTGTTAAGAAATCATAATAATGTCCTTGATTGCTATCCTGTAATACTTGGTGTCATACTTGCTTTTTATCTTGAAATAGGTTATCATTCACAATTGCTAGAAGATTTGTAACTATAGGAAGGACCAAAGCCAAAACCTAACTTTCTGTTGTTCGATAGTGTTCACTTCAAATTGTGTTTACATAAGTCTATTTTTGTAGAGTTTTTCCGTTCTCATAATCTGTTCTTGAGCTTCTATCTCTAAATATTCTGATATCATGAAAAGAATATAGGATCATATACTTCTTTTTATATTTCTCTACATAAGCATTGTTTTCTTTAATCATTTAATCTTGGTAGCATATTTGAGTTCAGTAGTTGAATAATACAGTTGGTTATGTGTGCCTCAATGCAGGATACAAGCTTTTTGGGATAGTGAGTCACATGGGAACCTCCACCCACTGTGGACACTACGTTGCTCACATACTGAAAGATGGAAGATGGGCAATCTTCAACGACAGCAAGGTTGCAGTCTCCATCAACCTCCCCAAGGAGATGGGGTATTTGTACTTCTTTGAGAGGCTTGACAGCTGAGATGTGTGAGGATTGACATTGAATGGGAGATATTCATGATTAGTGACAACTACCTATCCATGTGTTCTTCTTGGCCTTGCATATTGTGGCTTCTTAGAGCAAGTCTTTCCTCTTGGCCAGAACAATTTTCTTATGTACTTAAAGACTTCAATCTTAGACATAGTTGATCCTTTTCTTTTCAAAATAATCAATTAAAGAAAATCAAATCATTGACATGTATTAAGGTAACAGTTAAGTCCCAGAATTTACATATGGAGCCATGAGTTAATCTGTCATCTCCTTATTCTTACTCCCTTATCAGCCAATTACCATGATTTTCTTATCTCCATAATTAGATTTATAGTAGTTGGGGAAAAAAAAAGACACTTTGTTTTTATTATTCTATCTGGATCTCTCTCCCTATATGCTCCCATTGTGATTTCCCCCCTAACTTTCGGGGTATTCATCACGCTCGATGGTCCTTGTTTAAAGTACAGGAGATCTCTACAATTTTTTTTTTAAAGAAAACGAGAGAATCTTTTTCATAACGAATAATCGATTTGTTTAAATAATTAATCGTTTTATGCTCTTTACCGATCTACTGAAAAAAATACCATTTAAAGAATTCTTGAAATGTGACTAAAAAATTTTCCTTATTAATTTTGTTGGATGATGATACAAAGATAGAGTTGTCAACAAAGTTGTTAGTTAAAAAACATGTAGAATTGAATTCAATCAGAGAATTTTGTGGTTAATTCATGTATTACGCTCACGGATGTATTGAAAATTTAAACAGTATGTTAAAAAAAGAAAAAGAAAAAGAAAAAAGAATTGCAATCCCACCATCAATGACAGGACATTTCTATATCCGTTCAATATATTAGAGCTCAAGTCACTAGCTATGACAAATAGTACATTTTCAGCATCTGAAGGATTATTCTCCTCAAAGCCAACATCAGAAGAATTTTAGTGTGTGTTTGTTATTTTTATCATTCTTCTTGAGTTTTTGGACAATTCCACCTACTGTTCCTTTTTTTGTGACTATAATATCACTTAATATTTTGATTTGACCTAGACTTTGATCTAAATCGTCATCTATTCCCAAAATCCTTATGTTGACTCCTCCCCTTCACAATAAGACCCTCACCATTTTCTTCAGCATTATTGTGAGACACATTTGATGACTTAATATCTTCCATACCTACGGTGTCTTTTTCGTAGAGATCGTTACAACAAAATGCTCATAAGAAGCAGACAAAGAACATAAAAAATAAGGGTTTGGTTTTCATATTCAATATTGATATCAATATTTCTCAAATACATAATTACTCTATTAAATTCATCGATGTATTATATAATAGATGTACCTAACTTCTTTTATTCGAACTGTGTAGAGACTCTGTTTCGGATACAACCTATTGGTGAGAGACTTTTGTCGATTTCTATCAAGTCGGCGTCGAACTTCGATGTAAAGGGAGCTGTGACAACAGCTTCTGATTTAACGCCTTTGGTTGTGCCTTTCTTGACTGTCAATTTTTCTTTTCTTGAAAGTGCCTTTTGCAAGCAAAGCGTTCATTTTACACGCCACAAGTTGAAACTGATTTTGAATCTTGAACCTAGCCAATATTTTTCTGAAACTCCAGTAATAACAAAAACTATATTTGCTCTAATGCTACTAGTTTGTTGTGCAAAATACTAAAAATCACCATTTATTAGTCGGAATTTTAAAAGGAAAAGAAAAGTACATAAATGACCGCTTCATCTTAAAAAAAAAAAAAATTGCTCTCTGTGTTCAATTTTTATATCTACATTTTGCATGTATGCATTTGACGAGTCCACGTTTCGTGCACCTAAATGGTGAATGCATACATATTGTTTTCACATTAGGTGGGTCCCACGAAGATCCACATTCTTCTTTTCTCAGCTCTGACATCAGGAAAGCGAATCCAAACCAAAGGAGAACCAATCGCTGTTTCTGAAGCACGAAAACTTCAAGACTGGGGTTTAACAATCAAGTATTGGTCATAGATCATCCAAGGGCTACCACCCAACGAACGACAGAAATAATCATCTTAACTGTAAAACTTGATCAGGACCGGCTCTATAATACATGTGACTCTAGATAAAATAATATTTTAGAGACGTTTTATTAAAATAAATAAATATTAAATATTATTTAAATTTTATTTTTCTTGCTTTACGAGATGTAAAATCTCTAATTAAATTTTTATATTCGAGTTTACAAAGCAAATCTTTTTCAATTGATAATATAGCCAAATTACTTAATCTTTCTTGTGATATAGTTGAACGTAAATAAGATTTTATTAATTTTAATTTTGAAAAACTTCTTTCAGTCGAAGCTACAGTAACATGGATAGTTAATAGTATTCTTAATGCAATCCATGCATTTGGAAAAGAATTTACCTTTTTTATAAAATTTAGTACGACAAGTGGTGTTTTCATTTCCATAGTTATAATTTCTTTTAAAACTTTTAATTCTGAAAATAAATCTAAACCATCAATATCAAAAAGCATATCGTGCTTTAAAAAGTTTTTAAGATTTAAACAAATTTTTTTCAAAATATCATAATCGAGTTATTTTAATTTTTCTACACTATAAAGAAAACCAAAATTATCTTCATATATTTTAAATTGTTCAAACCTATTTTGAAGAGAGGAAATCGCATGATCAACTAAATATGTAAAATAATTAATTCTAAAAGATTCTTCAATAAATAATTTCATGTCTTCATTTTCAATCTCATCAAATTGTTTCTTTCTTTTTATTGTACGTTTTTCATGAAATTTTGATTCTATATTCATTTGCTCTGCAATTTCCTTAGCCAAGATCATAGAAGTCTGTAAATCTATTTTCTCTATAGCTTTTAAAAAAAGAAATAAGACCTTTCAAGTGGTCTATTGCAAGAGCAATATCCATATATTTAGATTGTAAATATTTACTAACCGTATTAACAACAAACAACATATCATACCAAATAATTATGCCTAATAAAAATTCAAAATTTTTAATCTCATATGTTGCTAAAGAAATAGCTTCACTTTTTGTTTTAGGATCCTCACTAGGTTACGTTAATTGATATAAAGCATCTCTTATTTGTCGAGCTTGAAATCTAATTGCTTTTACACTTTTAATACGACTTTCCCAACGTGTTTGTGATAATGGCTTAAGTGTTAAATTAGAAACACGATCTTGCAAAAATTTTCATCTTTTTGTAGAAGAAGAAAATAATGAATATATACATTGTGTCACTCCAAAAAATGTCATAGCACTAGCACATGAATTAGCCATATCACAAAGAACTAAATTAAGATTGTGATAGCCACATGGTGTATAAAATGCTCTAGAATTTATATCTAATAATCTTTTTTGTACACCTTGATGTTTACTTTTCATATTAGACCCATTATCATATCCTTGCCCTCTCAAATCATTTACGTCAAGTTCAAGAGTTTTTATCTTACTTGTAAGTTCATTAAAAAGACTTTCACCAAAGGTATCATCCACTTTTAAAAAATCTATAAAATACTCTTCTATTTTTATTGAAATTGTCGAAATATCTACACATCTTAATATAAGAGACATTTGTTCTTGATGACTTGCATCCGGAGTACAATCAAGTATAACTGAAAAATATTTTGATTATTTGATTTTTTCGATAATGGTATTTCTTATTTCTAATGCTAAAATATTTATCAACTCATTTTGTATATTATGACCAAGATAATGCATATGAATATCTCCATTTTGAATACGTCTAAGGTGTTCTTGCATTATTGGGTCAAACTCAGCAATCATTTCAATTAAACTCAAAAAATTTTCATTATTGTCCCGATAAATCTTCTCATTTGTACCACGAAATGCCAAATTATTTTTTGAAAGAGCTTTTACAACAACAATAATTCTTAATAATACATTCCTCCAATGCTCTTTCTCTTTATTTATTTTCTCTTGTAAATGCTTATCAATTATTTTGTTTTTAAGTAATCTCATCCGAGTATCAACCCAAATGTTCATATTAATAGCATGTTCATTACTTGTCTCATGACTTTTAAGTTTGGCACTAAGATTTTTCCAATCTCCACACCCTTCATTTGCTAATTGAATATTTGATTTCAAACTAAATAATTTACAACAATAACAAAACACTTTATCTAACTCTTTTGAATATACTAACCATTTTCCATCATGTTTTTCTCCATTTCGTAATTTTCGAATGTAATGAACTCGTAGAAAAATGTCTAGAGTTTTTATCTCTTGAAAAATCTAAAATTTCTCTAATTGGACCTTTCTCAACTGATAAATCAATCAGTTTTGAGTCAAAATTTTCCATTGTGCCGGATCGTAAATATTTTTAATTATTGTTGCATCTTCATCATTAATATTTTCACTTTTATTGATTGAAACATCATCTTCTAAATTTTCATCATATTCTTCATTACTTTTTGGTGAATTTGAATTGTTATCTTTAAATTTTTCTTCACAATTTTCAACTATATTTTCATTTAAATATTTATCTTGTTCTTCTAGTATTTGAGGTTTAATATTAGTAACAAATCTATCAAGTGCACCTTTTTGGGATTGAATTAGTTCTTCTACCTTTCTTTTTTCTTACGTTTTTCATATCCAAATTCATACTTTCTAGTAGACATTTTATTCAAATAATAAAATTAAAATATAATTATAAAAAAAATAAGAAACTTTGGCACTCGATTATATTTGCCGATTATATTTGCTTGCCACGCCTAATCAAGTAAACCCGGAGAGAATCACACGAGAAAATAAAAAAAAATTGAGAAAAAAATAAAATATTATATGATTTATATACATAATTTTTATTTGCATAAATTTAAAAATTACCTTCGATTTTTCTCGCCAAGCTAATTAGAAAATGTTTTATAAGAGATCCCTAATTGTTTAGAGAAAAAAATGAATATAATAAAAAAAATTAAAGATCTAAAAATTGTTTCACTCACAAATATTTTTCCGAAACTTTTACGTA